GGCCGCCGCCGCCGCCGCCGCCGCGGGCCGACGCCGCGGCCGGGCGGCCGCCGCGGCCGCCGAAGCGCGGCAGCGTGCTCCTGGACCTCCGGCGCGAGCCGGCGCCGCCGGGGCCGCCGCTCGTGCTCGAGCGCTGGGCCTGCGGCGCCTGCGGCCTCTCGAACGAGGCCCTCGCGTTATCGTGCTCCGCCTGCGACGCGCCGCGCCGCCGCGAGGCGCCCGACGACGGCTGGGCCTGCCGGGCCTGCGGCGCGGGCAACGCGGGCGGCGCCCTGTCCTGCGGCGGCTGCGGCAACATGCGGCCCTACACGAGCTTCTGGCCGCCCAAGGCCGACGGCGCGGCGCTCGCCGTCGCGAACCTCTCCCTCCGCGCGAGCAGCGCGGATAAGACGTAGCGGCGGTTACCAGTAACATATCCCGCCGGCGGGATATGCCGGCGGGATATGTTAAACCGCCGGCGGGATATGTTACCAGGGCACGGACGCGAGCGACGGGCCGTCGCCGCCGAAGGCGAGCGCGCCGCGCAGGGTCCGCGACGCCGCGCGGCCGAAGGCGACGTGGGCCTCGTCGGCGCGGAGCGGCGCGACGCCGTCGAGCGCGCCGCGCCCGAGGATCGCGTTCGCCGCGACCGCGCCCGAGACGAAGGCCTTCTCCTGGCTCCAGGAGCCGTGGCCGAGGTCGCGGACGACGTCGCCCGCGAAGTACGCGTTCTTCAGCGAGGCGGACGTCGTCGTGGGGCAGGACGCGTAGGAGCCGGGGTAGAACCAGTTCACGGCCTCGGGCAGCTTCACAACGGCCGCGTCGACGACGGCCGCGCCCGCGAAGGCCGGCACCATCGTGTCGAAGTAGGACTTGGCCCGTTCGACGATGGTGTCATCGTCGAGGCCCATGAGAGACCCCGAATGATAGAAATCCACTTCGACGACCATCTCAGACAAGTTCGTGGAGCTTCGTGAGATCGAACCACGTCATGCCGACCTTCTCGTCGAAGCCCCAGCACGCGTTCGCGCTGTAGGGCGTGTCGACGACCGCGTCGAGATACAGGCGCGTCGCCAGGACGTCCGTGCCTCGCAGGTTCCCGAACTTGCGGAACTCGGGCAGGTTCGCGAGCGACGGCGCCTTCGAGAGGCCCTTTAAAGCGCGCATGCCCACGGCGAAGACGACGTCGTCGCACGCCAGCGTCGAGCCGTCGTCCAACGCGACGGCGCGCACGCCGCCGCCGGACACCTCGAGGCCTGTGACCTTCGTGCCGAACTTGAGGTCCGCGCCGCGCGTTCGCAGCTCGTCGCACCACGGCGCGAAGATTCGGTCGCCGACGTTGCCCTTGCACCAGCGGACGTCGAAGGACGTCTGGCCCTTGAGCACGAAGAAGTAGGCCATGCCCAGCGCCGCCGCCGCGGAGCACTGCTCGCCCGGCGCGAAGAGGCCCGTGAGGATCATGGGCTCGAAGGCCTCGTCGTAGAGCCTGCGGCTCACGCCCAGCTTCGTGCACAGGTCGCGGAACGAGAGCGTGTCGAACCTGCGCCAGGCGTCGGGCGAGCCGTCGAACTCGGAGAAGGCCGCGACGAGCGGCGCGGCCGTCGCGAGCTCGAAGGGCGACAGGTTGTCGAAGCGCGTGAAGAGCGCCTGGCCGAGGCCCGTCGGGAGGTTGGGCCGGTCCCGATACACGGGCCAGACGGCCTCGAGGCCGTTGGGGGAGTACTGGCCCTGCTCCGCGTAGCCCGTCAGCGGGTCCGCGGCGCCCGTGAGGCCCAGGTCCTCGTAGAGCAGCCGGTAGATGTTGTGGTACTCGTCCCAGAAGCCGTGCTGCCCCGCCTCGGCGTTCTTGCCGAGCTTCGTTTTGAAGCCGTCGCGCACGACGCCGCCGGGCCGCGGCGCCGCGTCGACGACCGTGACGCGCACGTTTTCGTCCCGCGACAGCGACCAGGCCGTCGAGAGGCCGGCCCAGCCCGCGCCGACGACGACGACGTTGCGCTTCGGCGGCGCCGTTGCCATGGAGATGCTGCTCGCCGGCTGCCGTAGAGCGGCGACGTGCGTCGCGAGCGCGAGAGCCAGCATCGCGCGAAGGACTTGCTTGCCACCGAGCTGCTTGTCACCGAGCTGCTTGCCACCGAGCTGCTTGCCACCGAGCTGCTGCCACCACGCATCGCGTGCGCCACATCAGGTGCATCTCGATGCACCTCCAACTCGTTGCCTCTTTAAAATTGGCTGAGAACCAGCGGCCACTGGGCGACCGCGGCATTCCCCGACTTTGGCGCTGCGCTTGCGCTCACGCACCGCCGACACGGGCGCGGCGTCCGCCGCGCCGCTCGCCGCCGCCATGAAGCACGAGAGCAACGGGTCGGGCCACAACAGCCACCAGGTGATCCCCGTCGACGACGGCTGCCCCGTGTCCGCGGACGACGCGCCGGCGGACGCGCCGGCGGCCAAGGAGCCCTTCAGCCGCGCGCAGCTCGCGCGCTACAAGGTCGACAACTGGATCGCCCTGCGGCGGAACCAGATGAAGGCCCTGGTCTTCGCGGCGTTCTTCCAGGTCGGCGTCGGCGGCTTGTTGCTCGCGGTCGGCCCCGCGGCACCCGGCGGCGACGCTGGACCGCATCTTCGGCGAGGATCGTTATATTGTTTTTTGGATGTCCTGGGGCTACCTCGTGAACCCGGGCAACCACATCGGCTTCAACGGATCCTACGAGCGCACGTGCGGCGTCTTGTTGACGGTGCTCGGCGTGCTCTACATGAGCACGGTGCTCGGCCTCGTCGTCGACGTCATCCGCGAGAAGATGGACCAGCTCAAGATGGGGCGCAACGTCCTCGAGGAGGGCCACAGCGTGATCCTGGGCTGGACGGATAGAGCGCCGCTGATCATTGAAGAAATCATTCTGGCGAACGAGTCCGAGGGCGGCGGGCAGATCGTCGTGTTGGCCGACGAGCCGGCGAAGGACGTCATCGAGGCCGAGGTCCACATGCGCTTCCGGGGCCGCATGCTGGGCACGCGGGTCATCGTGCGCCACGGGAGCCCCATGCTGACGCAGGACTTAAAAAAAGTGTCCGTGGACCGCGCGCGCTCCGCGATCGTGCTCTCGCAGACCGGCGGCGACGCGGACAAGTCCGACGCGCTGGCGCTGCGCATGGTCCTGGCGCTGAAGTCCATCGGCGACCTCGACGGCTTCGTTTTAGTGGAAATCCGCGACGTCGACAACGAGCCGCTCGTGCGGCTCGTCGGCGGCGACGCCATCGAGACCCTCGTGTCGCACGACACCATCGGCCGCATGATGGTCATGGCGTCGCGGAACCCGGGCCTGAGCCGCGTCTACGGCGAGGTGCTGGGCTTCGACGGCGACGAGTTCTACATGTCCGCGCACGCGGAGCTCGACGGCCGGACGTTCGGCGAGCTGCAGGCCATGTTCCCGGACGCGGTGCCCATCGGCGTCGCGTCGGCGGACGAGAACCGCATCTGGCTCAAGCCGAGCCTCGGGCGGGTCATGAAGCCCGGCGAGAAGGTCGCCGAGGACGACGACACGTACGCGCCGCGGCCGCCCGCGGACGCGGCCCCGGGCGCGCTGCCGTCGTCGACGGCGCGGCCGCCGGCCGTGGAGACCATGCTCTTCTGCGGCTGGCGCCGCGACATCCGCGACATCATCCACCACCTCGACCGGCTCGTGATGCCCGGCTCGGCGATCCACCGTGTGCGAATCAAATCTTCAACCCGACTTCAATTTGCGCGTATGCGACAGTTTCGACACAAGTTCTTCGGCCTTGCTTCGAGAACTCGACGAGAGCAATCGATTCGTCCAAAAATTAGCCGAATCGACTTCGATTCGATCGAGATAGAGAGGTTTGAAGTTTTTGCTGGACAGGGCGTTCCACTGGTTGATTTGCACACAGGCGATCCACCTCTGCACGGACGCGGTCCCGCTGCACGAGAGAGACGTGAAGCTCGCGGAGGAGGGGCTGGACGTCAACGAATTGGAGCATTTGCGCATCGAGCACTTCCATTTGAACACGTCCGTGCGGCGCAAGTTGGAGGACTTACCCCTGGAGGACTACACGAGCGTGATGATCTTCCCGGACCAGGCCTACGAGGAGGACATGATGCACAGCGACTCGCACGCCGTCGCGACGCTGCTGCTGATCCGCGACATCCAGGCGAAGCGCCTCGTGCACCGGGTCGAGGCGGTCACGCGCGCGCCGCGGAAGTCCGCCGAAAGAATAGCGGCGGGCGTCACGAAGTGGCGCGACCGCGCGCTGCCGCCCAAGTGCCCCATGATCTGCGAGATCCTGGACCCGCGGACCCAGGCGACCATCGAGCAGAACACGAGCGTCATGGGCTCGTCGGACTTCTGCCAGTCGAACCGGCTCTGCGCGCAGGTCTTGGCGATGATCTCGGAGAACCGCGGCGTCAAGCTGCTGCTGGACGAATTGCTATCCCCCGACGGCACGTCTTTTTATGTTCATAGTGCCAAGGACTACGTCGGCGCCGACGAGGCCCTCACGTTCTACGACCTCGCGGCGCGGTGCGCGCGCTGCAACCACGAGATTTTGATCGGCTACCAGGACACGGAGTCCCTCGAGACGCAGATCAACCCCCGCGACAAGTCGACGTCGAAGCACTGGCACGGCCTCGACCTCGTCCTCCTCCGCGGCGACTCGCGGCTCCAGGGCCAGGACCGGACGCAGGTCGCGGAGGTGCTCGAGGCGTTCTCGAACATGAAGAAGAAGATCCAGATGGACCCCGAGGAGCGCAAGCGGCTCGCGAAGAAGAACTCGAACACGGCCGAGGTCACGAAGACGCTCGCGAAGAATATCGGCAAGCTCCGGACCGAAGATCTGAATTGGCTCGCGAACCGCGTCAACGACGAGATCCGCACGCGGAACATGAAGGACGTCGCGCCGCTGGCGCTGCCCCTCGACCCGGGTCTGCAGACTTTGATCGACGACCTCGCCATGGTGCCCGCGCGGGCCGAGCGGCCGTCGTTCAACCGCATCGCGCGCATCGAGCGCCCGTCCTTCGAGGCGAAGAACGGCCGGCCGTCGTTCTCGAACCCCTACGGCGACGAGTCGACGCCGCGCTACTGACCCCGGCGCGGCGACGTGGTGGTGACCGAGGCGACGCCGCCCGCGTCGCCGCAGACGCCCAAGACACCGACCGCCGGCGCTCATGACGGCGCCGCCGAGGCCCCGGCCTCGGCGCCGAACCCGACCCTCGCCCGCGCGAAGTCGCCCCACCGCCTCCCCGCCCTCTCCCCGCCGAAGAAGTCCCCGAAGAAGACCAAAGAACCGAAGCAGAAGAAGCGCGCGCCGTAAGAGGCCCGGCGCTTGGTACACGGATGATTAGTTCTCATTTAAGGTGCCGCCGCCGCGCTCAGGCGTCGCGGCGGCGCCGCCGCGCCTCGGACGCGTAGAGCGCGCGGTAGTCCGCGGGCGCCACGGCGTCCTTGACGAGGGCCATGAACGCGCCGCCGGGGCTGCGCCGCCGGGAGCCGTCGGCCGTCGCGGTCCCGGCGCCGCGCTCGCGGAAGAGCGTCCGCTCGAGGAGCGCCTTCGCCTTGAGGCAGCCGACGAGCTCGACGACGTCGCGGAGCAGGCCCAGCTTCTCCCGCGGCTCCCCGAGGGCGGCGCGGCAGCGCGCCGCGAGCGCCGCGGCGACGTCGTCGCCGTCGCCGTCGCGGCCGCGCGCGTCGTTCGTCGCGGCGACGCCGTCGCCGTCGCCGTCGCGTCCGCGCGCGTCGTTCGTCGCGTCGCGCATCGCCGGCCGGCGCCGGCCGCGGTCGCGGCTCCTCTCGCGGTCGCGGTCGCGACCCCGGCTTCGTTCGCGGGCGCGCTCGCGGCTGCGCTCGCGCGCGCGGTCGCGCGCTTCGGTAGGTCATAATAGAGGTCGCGCGCATCGCGGCCGCTGGCGCGCGCATCGATGGAGCAAAGCTCCATGCCCAGAACGGCCGATCGGCATCTGATCGGCCGA